TCAGAGAGAGGGTTTGCTCAATAATGAACCCCTTCCCTCCACTTGGTATAGGTCTGACATGCAATAAAATACAGTGCTAAGAAATATAGAATAGCAACATTGTACACTACATGCTTATTAATACTCTCAAAAGTTCATAAAACATACTAATTGTAATGAAATAAAGATACATAAATCTCATATTGTGAAATTATCATAGGCCTACTATATTATTTTGAGATATTAACTACAATTTTTTTAAATAAAAATGTTTAAAAATGGATATTTTTTTACAGTAATTATCATGGTACAATTAGTAGTGTTAGTTTTACCCGGCATAAGTTCATTCATGCGTTCACTAGTTTAATCAATATCTGATCAAATATTTTGCTATTAACATGTGCATGAGTGCCAATGATTTCAAACAATGCTGGTTGCTTTGTAATATGCTGTTGCTAAGCAACATAGCAACCAAACAATTGGCCAGATACTTTACATCGTTTCACCAGGTCTATTCCAAGATGAAATACATCTCCTGGTATAATTTCTGTTGCTAATTTATGCTTATAGGTATAAACACAACGATGAGGAGCTCTCTTTTGCAGTAACAAATGTGGTAGGTATTTAAAAGCTATAAATTATGCAAAAGGTTGGCGTATTGACAGAAACAGTTTTTTTAATGGACGTTTATAATGTTGATGCTGAATACACGATTCTGTTGCTCATACACGTTTAGTACGTTACTACGGCTACTGCGACTATAATTAGCCTAGCATAGTTTTATAGCACAATGGTCTTTGTATAGTTAATTACTTGTATTCTCGTTTCACTGTGCCAATATCGCAGTACTATTCTTAAACTAAATTTTTATATGCAGTTAAATTATATTTTATTGATATTATCCTACTCATTTTAAAAGCTAATTCATTCTTTTTTTATGCAGATGCAGTAATGACTGGTAGATAAAATATCTTAACTATTGTACATTTTTTCCCTTTCTGTTGTTATGCATAGGTGTGGATATGTGCATGTGCATATCTTTTTCCTTTCTGTTTTTATGCATACTGTAGGTGTGGATATGTGCGTGTGCATATCTTTTTCCATCTTTGTTTCAACACTATTCATGGTTTATGCATTTCAAAAGAAATTAGAATTTAATATCTTTATTTTTCATCAATACATGTACACACAACGGCCTACATAAGTGTATGTGTCATGATGATGATAATGATGATGACATGTATACTTTGTAGGCCATAGTACAGGAGTTTTTAACTGGCGGCCCGCGGCCAGTGAGTTCGTGCCGAAAATAATTCGTAAGACTTGGGCCTAGATTTCATAAAAACTTAAGAACTATCCCAGCAAAGAAAAGAAATCATTGGTATGGCAACTTTCAACCTCAACCTTTCTAGCTGGGCCTAGCGCGATAACATGGCGGCGCTCTGCTGCGTGCAATGTGTAGTTCCTGGTTAAGATGCCCTGTAGCCTATGAGTGTCTATCGGCTTATTTTTTTTTTTTTATTCCTAATTTGGGAATAGAGACATCCCCTTGGATGCCGCCAAAGAACGTATCTTGCCCTAGCCCTTCAAAATTTATTAAGTGAGCAATTTTTACCCCTATTGCGGTATAGTTGAGAACCCCTGCCATAGTATATGTTACACATATATTGCGAAAACCTACAGGCCGGGTTTGTTGCTGTAGTGACCTGAGTGTGTAGAATTCCTATAATGTAAGACAGACAGAATGTAAATAACAACTTAATATAAAGATCAGATTGTTATGAACAAACATGTGAAGTATCATGAATTATATTTGTCCAGAATTTTCAAATTTTCTCGAAGAAACTGGTCCTAATCATTGAGATTTATTCGAGAAATGTTAGGCTTAGGCCCCTGCATATCTACGCAGGGAGAACGCTAGGTTAAGTAAATGAACAATCTTTTGAACATTTGTAGTGCCGTTTCTTGCCAGTTATTTCTCACGTTAATGATGGGCAGTTGTTTTCGCAACCATAACATTACCATTCCCTTAGCTATACCCACTGTACGTCCCATGACCGGCTGTAAACAAACCTCGCGGAATGTGTCTATTGTTTGTATCTTGATTCAGGATATTAATACCTTAAAATCTTAAAAGTGATACCAGCCAATCTGTTTTAAGTTCCCTTAACTAGAGAAAATTCACTGTCAGATGGAATTACTTTTAAATGTTTAGAGAGATACAGAGCCTAAGGCGTAACATTTCTCGAAACATATTTGGGCCCAGTATCTTTTGAAGCAAATTAGCAAACTATGTTTGCAATATTCTTACTCAATTTCCAGTCAATTTGGAAATAAAGTTTCACCCCTATTAAAGGGGACACTTTTATTTTTTATTATATCAAAACTTACTACAGTAGTCAAAATTAAAAAAAAAAATTTAAATTGATATTTTGACACCTTTTTAGCAATAAACTTAACATCAAACCAGAATTTTTTCCATCCTTAGAATGGGCATTGGATGCCATGTGTTACTTTGTGTTAATAAAATCTTGTCAATTCTGACCATTAACCATGGAGATTTCTTGTTTTGTGTATTTTGATGTAGGATTCTAATTTATCCAGACAGCCTACACCCTGATTTTTAAGTTGGTAACATCAAAATAATATTCTATCTTGTGCATCCAATAGAAAACTCAATATTTAAAAAAGGAATATTTGGTCATTAACATTGCACTCCATTAAAGAAACAATATCTGGAACATACACAAATTTTGTATTTAATTAAGTCTAAAAAGTAGTGTATGAAGGTTTTTGCATGCCCACTCCCGCTTTGATGAGTTTGTTTATCAAGGAAAATATTTTAAATTAAATGAGACAGCACAGTATAGTGTGTCTTTAGAGTTGGCTGGTAGACAACATTGAACTGATATTTCAATCCAACTGACATGAAATACTATTTACCAAATGGAAATCATTATCAAATTACAAAATATAACTCAATTAATCAGTTTGTTTCAATAAGGTAATTACATTACGTTATTTAAGTTGTTTAACTATACTGAGTTACTGGTATAATTTGTAGATTAGCATATTCAAATTTCTCTAGTTTGTCAGTTTCTCAAATTTTCTATCAAGAAGATGATGCATTGTATTATCTATTACATATTTTTTGAGGAAAAAATATTTCTCTTTGTCGAAATACTGTATGAATGGCTACCAGCCTACTGATAGTTAATTCTGTATTAGATTAACGACCTAAAAACTAGCATTTTAAAAATCAATCTTTATCTGTTTTTTATGGATCTTAAATTATGGCAAAATTTCAGAAATTTAATTTCAGCAAAAATTCATAATTTGTGAGTCGTGTTGTAGATCAATTTGGTTCATGATAGTCAAGAAAATGGCATTTCTGATGTTTTTAATAGTGTGTTTGACACCTGCCTACATTTTGTTCATTTTGATGCGGAGTGGTCGCCGATGTCAATCACTAGTGACCGGGAGGGATAGAATCTACACATATTAGTTTTTATTCCTCCGCCATTAGGGAATTGAACAAGTCACAACAAGTTTAAAATTTCCATATTTTATGTTTGTTTGATGTTTGTTCAAAGGAGCTTTCTTTGTTTTTGTAGGTAGCTTTGATAAGTAGGGTAAGAATGTTTTGATCTATAGTTTATTCACAGCTATGTCACCTACTAGAGGCAAAGTTTTATGGGTTAAACACTTAAAATTTTTCATTCCTGATGATGATATAATTAATGTCAAAATATTGAATCCCTACACAATGGCGTGTACTGTATATCGATACTTGGAGTATGTATTATACTATCTTATATGAGATTAATCAGTGGCTGTGGCAGCTCTAGGATGTATTTTCTGGGGGGACAGAGCTGTCCAAAAGGGGGAACTTGGGTCTGCAGGCTCGAGCTGGGGGAAGTTTTTGAGAGCGTGTTCCTGCTCCCAAATGAGATTTTTTAAGAATAGGAATCTCTGGGCGGCCAGAAATGACACTCTCTGATTGTGACAGACATATTTTTATATATTTTTTAGTCCGACTGCCCGACGAGCTCTGTCAGATTGGGGGGGGGCGGTGCTTGACCTGTCCTGTGGGGGGCTTGAGCCCCTGCTGCCCCCAAAGTGACAGACTACTCAAAGTGACAGAAAATGTATTTTTCGAGAATTCCAAAGCCACTAAAGACCTATCGTGTTCGTATTCCATTTGTGCTTGTTTAATCTTTTTTTTTCTACTGAAAATCAAGGGAAATTGTTCTTATTTTCTTTAATCAGATTACTGAGATTAGGATTAAAAACCTACTGCTTAACAAATCATTCATTAAGCGTCAAAAAACAGTTCCTCTCGGCATAAGCATGATTCCATTTTTTATGGGCTTTGTTTCTACTGCCACAGGAAACCTTTTTTTCTCTTACTACTTAAGTTTATCTTGAAGGTCCTTCTCATATCATGGAGGAAATATATTTCCTCCATGCTCATATTAAACTTGGGTCTAAATAGATTATCACAAGCTGCAATCAGCTATCAACATTCAACAAAGCAAAAAGTAATTAGTTTGTCAAAAAAAAAAAATAAATAAAACAGTACCAGTATTTTACAGTATTTTCTCTTAATAGGCATGTCATAATTGAGTTGAGTTTATGTTTATGCAGTATAAAGCACTTCCTGAGAAATGAGTATCCCTATGTTATTCCTTCTGTGATGATTGCTGTGAAGTATTAAATCTGTCCAAACAATTAGCTTTTCTTTGACAAAAAACTGTCATATGTCTATATATAGTCATGATGTGCCTATATATGGTCATGATGTGATGTCATCATGACCATAAAAAACTGTTGTATGCCCATATATAGTCATGATGTGCCTATATATGGTCATGATGTGATGTCGTCATGGCCATATTAAGGCATGTCACATGTGTTTGTCAAATAAAATTTGATGGTCTAGACAAGGCTTTAAATCGTAGAGCCATCAAAACATTTCTCAAACTCATTTAATAATAGCTGAAATTTTATTTCAATTTTAGGCAGAGCCAAATTCAGAACAGGTTCCAGCCACTGCCATCGATTCAAGGAGGTCACGCACCACAAACAGGTTTTGAGAAAGCGCTAGTGCCAGTAGGCACAGGTCGACTCAAGCCCCAAATGTCTCACATAGCTAATGGCGGGCCGATGATGTTAAATGATGTCGGCGACGCAAAGGTCCGCCAGTTTGACAACCGACTCAGCGTGGCTGAGCAGTCGAACAGGGCACTTCTGGAAGAGGTTGTTCGTCTTCAAGGTAAGCTAATTGGTTTGTTTAATCTTTGCGAATACTGTGTTGTCTTTTAGATTAATCAGACCTCGGAGTGCAGATGAATGCTGTTCTGTCCGCGTTTCTCCCTGAGTCCTATCTATCCCATTTACTTCCTTATTACCCTTCTTTTTCTATAGCAATTTAGATGTTACTCATGCTCCTGCATGTAGACGATGTTGAATGGTTCTACGCTTGTACTTAGTCAACCTAATTCATCAAAATATATACGTATCAAGATTGATATTTTTAAATAATGGAAACATGAAGTTTGTCTAGGTTTTGTAGGAAATATCAAGTATAAAATTGACTCAAACTAATGACTATCATGCACAAAATACCAATGTAGATAAATCATAGGCAACATGCACATTTTTGGCAGTTAGTTGAATAAACACATCTATTTGAGCACCTACCACCGCAGTACAAATGCCTGTTTGTTATAGTTTTAAATTTTTGCATAAAGCATTTGCTCATTTGTATGTCAAAAAGAAAAAGAAAATAAAAATATATTTATCTTGCACTTATTACAGGAGAGCTCAAACAGGCTCATCGTAAAACAGAAGACATGCTGGCCGTAGAGAGGCAAGCAAGACAGCAGTTAACGGAAAACATTCGGGCCAGTAATGATCTGATTGGACAGTTAGGAGCAAGGTTAAAGAGGGCTGAGGAGAAGGTTGCCGAAGAGAGGTCGGCAGTGGGGGCGCTAGTCAATCATACAAAACAAGTTGAGCAAGCTGTGCTTGGTAGTCAGCAGGAGTTGGTCGCAAAACGTGACCACCAAATGACGAAGTATGTTATGGTATTTTATTTTTTTGCATGATATCCATCAGTTCATTAATCAGTCAATCAAATAATCAATCTACCCATCTATCAATCAATTAATCAGTCAATCAATCAATCAGTCAATTAGTCAATCAATTAGTTAATCCATCAATCAGTCAATTAGTCAATCAATCAATCAATCAATCTATCAATCAAACTGTCAAATTTGTCAGTATTAGTGGAGTAAAGTATTCAAGCCATAGCTTGAATGAAGACGCTTGCCTTTAAACACATGGTGGTGGTGTACCTTTCAATCCACAATCTTAGCCTCATAACAAGAGTTTGTATCATCATGTATGTGTGTGTATTATCAGGGGAGGTTCTAGAATTTTTCAGCATAGATAAGTGAATAGTGCTTATTTCAATACTGACCTTGCTCCCTACTGGATCTGCACCTGACTAGGAAAGGATTCCCACTTGTTGTTATATAGCAATTGCATTTCAGGCTCTTAATCTTAAAGCTGGGGCTCCAAATGTTATCAATGCATTTCACTGATTTCCTTGAACACATTGACCTACATTGGTGTCTCTCCACCTGGATAAATGATTGTTAAATGCAGCCTGAGTGGATCGTCATTGGAAACGATTCATTGCAAGTGTGTGCCTTGCTTTAATATAAAAAAACGTGTAGTGGCTCCTTCAGTTGCACCCTACATAAGTTATATAAATGGCTATTAGTGCGGCCGTCCTGAGGCAAAACAACGTAACTGACATTTTTGTCGATTTTCAGATAATATCATTTGGGAGTATATTAAAACACTTCTGAATTACCTGTGAAAATTTTGGGTTTCAACAACGAGTGGTTTTGGAAATAGCACCACCTATCTTTAAGCACAAAACTTAAAATCTAGTGATTTCTGTGGTAAAACAATGTAACTACCAGATTTAATCTGGCAAAACAACGTATCTTAGATGAAGATACGTTGTTTTGCCTCGAATTGGAATTAAAAAATTATTTTGAGCTAATGGAGTTTGGTACAGCAAAATCACAGTTTACGTATCAATAATCTTAACAACAACGTATGCACAAGCCAGATAATTCATATAATTGCCCAGACGTGATAAATTTGTAAAATATGTTGCACTTGTGACAATACTGTGCCTTACTTGTTTCTGAGGTAAAACAATGTATCTGCGAATATTGTTTAACTTTGCAATAAACCAACGGTTGTAGTGAAAATTTTATATTCTGTATAATCATAATTTCTATAGATATATAGTCATGCAAAATTTCAGAAGGGTACAAGAATTTATTTGCCAAGTTGCAAACATGCAAACTTTAACTCTATTTTTCTAAAAAAGGGGAAATTTCAAGGTAATACATTGTTTTGCAATGGAACGACCGTATGTATGGATGTTTTTTAATATTCTAGTCATTTTAACTTTTAAGCGTCTTTTCACATTGTATAGATTTCATGAGCTTCGGAACGATGTAGATGAAGCAAATCGAATGCGAGAGCAGTTAGAACGGGCAATGACTTCAATGGTTGATGAAATACGTCAATTAAAATCCAAAGCCGACTCTCAGAGTTTAGAATTTAGCAGCGTAATGCATGAAGTTAAGGAGCGCTCTAAGCGACTTGAAGAAGACAGTAGACAAGCTGTAAGTTTTTTGTTATACCTTATATTAGTATGTATATATTCATTATCGTCTTATGAATCTTTACTATAATTGTCATTATTCGGTTTAAAGGCGGTTTGGCGCAGTGTGAAAGGTTTGGTTTCCCAACCTTGAGGTCGGGGTTTCAATCTCTCACTGTGCATTTCGCTTGTGTCCTTGAGCAAGGCACTTTATCTGCATTGCTTCTCTCCACCCAGGAATATAAATGGGGTACCTGGTGGGGTTGCTTGCTCCTGCGCTGAATACAGTAGCAACACTAAGTATGTGGATCCAATGACCAGGGACAGAAGCGCTTCGTATCAGCAGAGAAAGGCGCTATATAAATATATGAATATGAATGAATATATTATCCGCATCTAAATCATCATAATTATGCTCTTCTCGTAAATCTTGTCTGTCATCATCCTTTCCTCATCATCTTCGTTGCCACTGCCAGACCTGAAATAGCTTTTAGTCCAATTAAACTATGTATTTTGGATGTAAAGCTAAGCTTATCTCACCCTTGCAACACGACTCAACTCAGCTAACATCAGCTGACTTAAATTAGTTGCCGGTAGCACTCATTTCGAATTTTACTTGCAATTACACAACTACCTTGAGCAGTTATGTCGCTTTGTCAGTTGTGCATCGCAGAAAATCAAAACAACAGCAACTGAGAGCATGTCACCTCAAATTGTGCAACTCACATTTGCTCGCCAGTTGCTGGCATGTTGTTAAAGGTCAGTTGATGTCATTTGACTTGAGTTGAGTTGTAAGGGTGACATAAGCCTAGCTTAAAATAACAGTACATTGTTTCATTATACTATACTCGGTGAAGAAATAAGTATTGTGATAGATTGGAAGTCATTTCGAGCTTCCTCTAATATTTCCCATTACAGTACAGAGCACCGCCATTTTTCAAACAAGTTCTTAAACTTACAACAATTAAACCAATATTATGTTAATACACTGTGATACAATAATAACACAAATAGATAAAATAATATAAATGCAACACAATATTATATGTTATGTTGCATGCAGTGTATGACTGGTGCATCACTTTTGCTATTCTATTTAATATTGAATCGTCAGTTATTTGAATACGAATAACAAATATTACTATAATTCATGTTTTTGAATTTTATGTCTTTCCTTCCTTTTATTACCTCATAATTGCATCACCATGGAAGCAGAGGGTAAGTATAACAGTTAAAGGGTTTTTACTTGTGCAATTATTGTAATGCAATTTAAGGTTGTTTTTTTAAAGCTTAATTCTATGAACAATAACATTTTTCCTTGGGAGATGGGTAAAGCATCCCACAGTGAAAATAAACCACTTGATGAGTTTCTTATGCCAGCTGATAAATAGTAAATTGTTCCTGAGGCTATGAGGTTCTCTGAATCTCCCTTCAATTAATGTATACTATAGGCTTATGCCCAATTATATTAAACCTAATATAAATATTATGGTTGCAAATTTGAATATATTTGCATATTTATAATTCGGTATACAGACTCTACTTTTGCTTTTTTTACAAGAACATTTTTTTATTACAGAGTTTAAAAATAAAGGAAGAATAATTGATCAATTAATTTATATTCTTTTTGTATTAATAGTCACTATACAATTAAATAAATAATGTATAGATCATGCATAGATTACAATTTTATTATAGTATGTAAAGAAGATTTTGTGGGTCAATTTTAAAATTATCCATATTGGTATAAATATGATTTTCATTATGATTTCAACAATGATTTCCAAAAAATGTAAAAAATGATAGAAACAAAAGTACAATGATTAGGAATTAAACATTATTATATCTCCTTCATGTAGCTCTATGTTATATTTTTATTATATATGATAAATATATATATATATATTTTACGTGATATTTCAAAGTATAAAAAGGAGCATTCAGCAGATGAGAAGGTGGGATTGCTCCGAGACCAGTTCAGTATAGGGTAAGGGTCATCCCTGTTTGAAATGTCATGACCTTTGCTTTTTATTTTTTTTTAGTTGTTTGGCTTTTGTATTGTGTCTGTGAATAATCATGCAACGTTTAACATGACTTTAAATATCTCCTGATGACCCTTAAGAATCGAAAAACAATAGTTAGGGGTCACATGTTTACCCAGGAAGTCACATGACATCCAGAGTCACTTTATCTCTTTTTTATAATTGACCTTTAAACTTAACATGATGATTCTAAAAGGTCATATTCATGATTGGTATGAAAACCCAAAATATGGCTTTTTGAATGTAAAAAAGACCTTGGATTATTTGTTTGCTTTTCATTGTTAGAAGATACAAGAAAGTCAACTTTATTGTCAAAAAATAAATTCTGAGATATTTTTGTATATAACATAGAATCGTTTTAAATGTGATAAACTAACAAAATGTTGTTGCTACTGATGTTAGATGGAAAATCAACGCAAATACCATGACAACCATCACTTGGCTGAGCAAGCTACCTCTGTTCTGAGAACACAATTGGATGCCAGGTATAAAATTCCCTCCACCACAACTCTACTACAACTTTTTTTTACTTTATCAATTTACAGAAAGTTAATTTCTTGTTTTTTTTTTTCTAAAATAATATGAATGTTTTTAGAATCATTATTATAATAGTCATAATATAATAATTAATCTTGCATATTTTTTTGTAAATTGATATTTTTTTCACATGTTTTATGAACAAAAAATAAACCATGAACAAAACTAGAATAAAGCCATCTAAAGACTGCAATAAAATACTGACTATCAGGTTGTCACCATCTTTATGTTACGTTTACAGTACTTTAATATCTTTAGTAAAACATCATAACATTTATAATAATAGTACAATAAATGTAGTGTAATTATTTTGATTCAAATCTAGTTCTAGAAGAATCAGTAATAAAAATACCCGAAATATAACCTTGAAAAGATTGCCAAAAGGACACTAATTCTGTCATTCATCATTATTCATTTGTATTTCGTGCATTAACCAATTTAAAACATAATAACAACATTAGAAATAACAATATATGGCACACTTCAATTCAAATTTATTACTAGATACAAGTACAATGCAGCTTTCACAAACACTGCCAATATATACACCAGCTATCATCATCATTGCATTAACTAATCCACAACATAATTATCAATAATAATAATAATAATGGTATAATTCACTTTAAATGTATTATTAGAAACACAAGTAGTAAATATCCACAGCCTCCCAAAGGTTGCCAATGAATATAGTAACTACCAAGAATTCATCATCATTTTTGTTTTGCTAGAGGAGGTCTTGTCTCATAAATGTTATCATGGTCATACTGCACGTGGATGTTTGTTTATCCAGGTTTTGTTTAATGTTGATTTAGCCAGTTAGCAATATATTAGAAGATGTGTATTCTTCGAAGCAGATATATGGTTCTTTATTATGTTGGTAATAATTTGTGTAACATCCTTTAAACATATACTGTCTGTACTAACCAACGAAAGCAACAACACATGGATTACTTAAATTGTATGTTTAGGTAATTTATCAGCTGCCAAATGAAAATTTGAATGGTAAAACTATCTTCCCCTCCACTAACAACATTTTGTTAGTAAAAAGGCAAATTGTGTTGACTTAGTGTTTTGGAAGTTAATACTAAATTCTGTATAACTTTGCCCACACTATCAAATTTTCTTTGACAAAAAAAATCTATATATGGTCATCATGTGCCTATATATGGTCATGATGTGCCTATATATGGTCATGATGTGATGTCGTCATGACCATATTTAGGCATGTGACATGGATTTGTCAAATAAAATTTGATAGTCTTCAAGGGGCTTACATGAGGTTTTGAGAGTTGTTTTTGTTTAGGCTTACAGACAGTATATATTGTTTAAAAAATGTATTTTATGTGTGTTTTTTCTTAAATGTTAATTGTATTAAAATGTTGTGTATACTTTCAACATTAATAAATGCATTTATATATATATTTTTATAGTCATAGTCTACTAACTAACTCTACTGTATATGTCTCAGCTTAATCTCTAAGTGTTAGTATTTTGTTTTAACAACTGCTTACATTATTTTGATATAATGAGTGATGATAATGATGGAAAATGCCTAAATATGGTCATGATGACATCACATATCATGAATATTCATGTGAGCATACAACAGGGATTAAGTGTTTTTTTTTTTAGTGGATTACATGCATTTGATCTATAGAAAAGTGTATTGTAATTGAATGATTGTTTTTTTAAATTTTAATGAACCTATATACATTGGTGGCTAAGGCCCTGCCCAGATTATCAGATTTTATTTGACAAAAACATGTGGAATGATTGTCATGATGACATCACATCATGACCATATATAGGCATATCATGACTATATGAGCATAAAACAGTTTTTTGTCGAAGGAGCTTAATCTTCACCATGACACTTCGTATATAAAGCTGGTCGGGTTAATTTGGAAAATAGTACTTGCTAAACTGAACAGCTTCCACGCGATATGGTATAAGTAAAGTAAGAACAAAAATTATGTTTCTTGTGTTCATTTTTAAGATTGGGTGAAGTAAGGGATGTGTTAATGGATCTAAGAAACAGAGTAACGACAGAAGAAACGGAAAGACGACAACAAGAACAGCAAGTATTTTTAAAGTAAGTTATGCCCACACTTTGAACAATGTTCATTATTGCATACTAAATAAAATAATAGTAACATGTAGTTTAAAAATGTGGTGAAAATTCAGCAAGAATGGTGATGGCAGTTAATATAATTTAATAATGTAAGAATTTATACTGTACCTTTCTTGAAGGAGTAATAATAATAATGGTAGACTTACGGTAAACTTGTTAAGCCTGTGCGCTTCACATTGCCCGTTCATTGGATTAAATGCGTATGTGGGGGAGTACGCCATAACGTTGGCAGCAGCTTCATCATTTTGGCATTTAACCCTACCAGGTACCCACTTATACTCCTGGGTAGAGAGAAGCAATGCAGATTAAGAGCCTTGCCCAAGGAGTGAAATGTACAGCGAGGGATTGAAACCCCGACCTTGAGGTTGGGAAACCAAACCGTTGCTGCTGCACCAAACCACTTCAACATACAAGGCGCTGGTGGTTTTATGTACCTGGTCATTGGATCAATTAAATTGCAAAACCGGTTCAAAGTGTAACCTTCTTCACTTCCTGGGAATTATACCTGCTTAAAATACTTAATATTCAACACCAACAACATTCTACTTAGATACCCATTTATATTCTTTGGTGGAGACAAATTTATAGTGCTTGCCCTGGAACACAATATTCTAACCTCCAAAATTAATGCTTGGGGATGATACATTGATAGTTAATGTGAACATAATATAGTCAAAATATCAAGCATTATAATTCCAGACCTGAAAAAATAATTATTTTCTCAACCACTTTTTCTTTGTTTCATAGAGCAGCCTTTGGTAAACATTTGCTCTTCCATACATACAATGTACATTGTGTTTCTTGCGTAGTATAATAATAATCAGATTAATCAATTTTTCGCATTTCTTGTCACCGCTCTCATTTTAAGCTGATTTTTTTCTGATATGTCCTATAAAGAATGAATGATCTTCAGGCCCAAGTTCACGAACAGAATCGTAAACGTGAAGAAGCTATGCACGTTTTTGATGTTGTCCAGCGAGAACGAGATCATTCAGCGGATAACGAGCGATTAAAGTTGCAGAGTAAGATTGCGGAGATTGCAGAGGAGGTCAGCAAAAAGATCCTCGGCAAGGAGATCCGTCTGAGAGAGGAAGCGCAACAGAAATTTGGTAACATTGAAAAGGTACAGCGTCATTACTAGATATAGCAAGGCCGCGTAGCCAGGATTGTCATTGGTTGGTGGGTGTGTAGGCATGCAAAAATGGGCCATCTGGGATATGTTGGGTCGTCTACAACCGCAGTTAAGGTCAACCGCAGTTAAGGTCAAGGGAAAAAGCCTGTTGGATCGCATGTTTGGTATTGTAGGGCGCTGTAAGGGTTCAGATAGGTTACGCTGGTTAAAATAAAGAAGCTCTTTTAAGTTTTATTGCAAATTTTATATTTAGTATATGTTCAGTTGTCCAAAAAATGTGGACCTTTTTGAATTTCAAATTGGGGTGGGGGCGGGGTGTGTAACATACCCATCATCCCCCTCTAAATACAGACTGCCCCTATATGTTTATGTGGTAAATTCATGAAAATTGTAAAAGATAGACAAGCATTTTAAGCAATTTTTAATTGATTGTATTTTCTTTGTAATGTAGTATTTACATGAGGAACAATCTGCACGCATCGCTCACGAGCAGGCGATGCGAGAAGAAAACGAGAAGCGATGGACAGCCTTGCAAAAACTAACGGAGGAGGAAGTACTACACGTCCGTGAAAACCAAAAAGTAAATTATATATTTTTATTAATTTTTTCCATTTACAAAATTAATTAATATTTTTTAAAATTAATTTTTAACATTATATTGTAATATATTCTTATATATGTTATTTTTTGTTTTGATTTTGTTTTTAGCCAATTGACTTATACCAAATAAAGTATACTTATGTTAAAAAGTTTTATTTTTGTGAAACATTTAATGATTTGCAGGAGGTTGTTTTAATTCACTCTGCCCTTTATAAAGGTATAGAACAAGAGTACATACTACATATACAGTGTCTGTAAGCCCACCAAGTGAAGACCACTGCAATTAATAATACGTAAAATGTGTTATATTTAAACATAATCTGCAATTGCCTGACATCTCATCACATTTCATCATGTTTGCATTTGCTCTCTTGGGCAAACCACTGCCCATCCTGTTACAGTGGTTTGGTTGCAGGCTCCTCCTCATGTACCTGAACTGTGTGTCTACAGTTTATAAGGACTTGATTTAAAATTTGCTATTAAAAAAAAATACATTAATCAATAATATACAAAGATGATAAATAATTTTGGGAAAAATGTATAGTGACTCGTCCAGAATAAAACTCAAGATTCTTTGATTACCATTGGTTGCTCTATCAGTTGAGCGAATGTGAGCAGTTATGCTGGTATAATGTTCTATAATGTTGTATTAGTGTAGTATGAAATTTTCTGATGGATGGATCATGTAATATTTATTTCGGTATTAAGGAATACCTCCATAAGTGGTCTAGAGTATATTGACGATATTAAATTCTATGTTCTAATAAACTTGAAAATCTCTAATGAAATTATTCTAAAAATATTCTATTGAACCAAGAAATTTCCAAATATAATGGGAAGTGTAGAACAAATGGAGATGATGGACAAAATAGAAAAGATGGAAAAAACGTTGTTGAAGAGGCGCGAGTCCAGTGACGACTTGGCCGAATTCACAGAGGATCAGGCAAGATAACGTTCCTTAAGGCCAGGCCATCACTGCGCCCTACGATCGTACGACTGTCGTACGATGCAGTGAGTCCCCGGCTTAGCAAATGCTACTTGATGTTCTAAATGCATTAATTTGTGGCATTGTTGTTGTTTTTAAAGCATTTTGCTATCTAGCATCTGTGTATTAGCACTATTAATGATAGATCTGCGAACCTAGTACTATTGTATGGGTGACAAATATTATGAAATGATGACGTATGAAAATCCCAGAACTTTTAGGTTTCACAAATTTATTTATTTACCAAATTTTTATAGCGCCCTCTTTATGAGTACTAATGTTCAAAGGGGCTTTACATAAACAATGCATATAGAATTCAAATATATAATTTTAGAAGAATGTGACAATTATTATCGAACGTACAGATTAATTAAAAAAATAGGCAGTGAAATGCATTGAATTTAACATTTTGATAAGATGGACATGCTTACAGTATTTTCTAACCTAGCTGTAAAAGAATTTTGGAAAGCCCATGCACAAAAACCTCAATATAGACCGTGCATTGTGGGATAGCTTAAAAGATCCTCAATGAAGTGGATGTCGTAGTCAATTTTTTAAACTTTTATACATTTAGAGGGTGGGGTAGTCTTTGAATTGAATTCCTGTGTCTATATATATCCCGACCTCCCCTTTCTCAATCGGCCAATCTTCTCGCTCTCTTTTATATATTTTTCGTTTACTGCTTCGTAATTAAATATAGAAACAAATTAAAATTAGAACATTCAGCATTATTATTTTAAATAATTATTGCTTTACTATAGTTTGGTATGCAATTTTCCAGTGCTTTTGACTTTTTTGGTATTTATTTCTTGAACAACAGTCAAATACCTTTTGTGTAAACATTAGTACATTATTTTTGAGTACTAAGGAGATGCATTAATATCGGAAAAATATAGTAATATAGATAAAAAGTAGGAGCTTTTGCCGCTTATAAATTTATATTATATTAGTTTATAATTATGAATTATTTTGCATTAAAGACATTTTTAAAAGATCACATGAATGCTTTTTTGCATAATGTATGATCTGTACAATTTATCAAATTTTTTTTTACAATCATAGGGTTGTGATGTGATGTCATCATGACCATATTTAGGCGTGTCACATATTTTTGTCAAATAAAATTTGATAGTCTGGACAGTGCAGACTATCAGATTTTATTTGACAAAAACATGTGGCATGCCTAAATATGGTAATGATGACATCACATCACGACCATATATAGGCACGTCATGACTATATATGGGCATACAACAGTTTTTTGTCAAAGAAAATTTGATAGTCTGGTCAACATTCATTTATCATAGAGCTTTGACTTTTTATGATATTTCTAATGCTTTTTTTTTTTCATATAGATGTCTACTTATTACTTGCTTATTGTGTGACATAGTTTTATACAAAGTAAAGTCCTTGAAGCCATTTCATTGTATTTTCATATTAATTGCTTTTAAGTATAAAGATTTAGAGCTTTTAAATTGATTATTTTTACAAACATGATTAATGGCAGCTTTTGCTATTTGGGTTCATCCCCAATGGCGCTTGTTGAATTATGGCATAATGGTAATTTTTTTTTTTTTTTTTTAGCTTTTATTGTGTAGATTTGTTTGTATATTGTTATTCAATTATTCAGTAGATTAAATCATAACAGTAATTTCGATCATGTCATTAGGAAATGTTGTATGCATTTGTTAAGGCAAAATAATGTCTGTTGATCTTTTGAAATGATAACTGCCGTCGGTACTTATGTTGCCTAGCAACAAGATTCACAGATGACAAAATAATAACCTAAGATTATCATGCAACCATTCTGTTACTATGATCAGGTCTGACTTTTACCTTTGATTTTCTTGACAAAAAAAGAAACGTGTGACAAAACATCTGAAAACACAACTAAATGATATGTCGGACAAAATTGAGAATTTGGAAATTGCGATGAAGAAACGAGGAAAGACGGTTGATTCTGAAGACGAGGCAAGATATTTTACTTGTGCCAGTGATTGCTATTGTGTGCGGTCTGCGTGCATTTTCGGTGTATTTTATTATATGTTAATTTGCTTCCCAATAACGATCTTGCTCCTATACTACTGTTTATGTACGATTTTCAATCATGATATCTGCTTCTGTTTGTAGGGTGCTATATTTGTTGGGAATGGGAGGGATATAGCAACATTTGACAACAGTATTCTTACTATTCTCATTAAAACATTTTTTTTTTCCAGAACTATATATGTGGTGCAAGCATTTAGTATTTTATTACTTTGCCATGCAAACCTTCAAGTAATAACAATATTTTTCTAAAGGCCGGTCATACACTGCGTCTGCTAACGGTTGCCTAATGCAATGCGTTGCCTGATGATTGGCCAACATAATTAGATGGAGACTGTGACACACCAGGCATGATGCATCATTTTTAATGACACTTAGACGGCCGTTTACAATCAGCAGATTGTGTTACGTTGTGAAGCGATGATGGATTTGTTGGCCACAGCGCAGTGTGTGACCGGCTTTAGACAAATGCTATTGCTTCTTGCCATTTTTGTTATTATAGTATATGTGTCCGACCACAATACTGCCAAAATAAGGACCAGTGATAAATCTTCAAAGATATGCCTACTAAGGATGCCCCTATACTAAAGGGAATTTGGGTTTTGGGCGTGTAAATTTAATAATGTCCATACAGAGTTGCACCCTTAACATTTTAACTGGCAAAACATGGTGATTAAGGCTCAAAAAGTGTTTTGACCCCCGAAATGGTGTGATCCCTAAAAATGGGTAAGGTTCAAAGAAAGGGAGGATTAGATTGTCCTTTTTCCTTTTCTTTTTGAGTGCTCTGTCCCTTGATTCTTGTACTTGATGAAGTATTGCTTTATGTTTGTTACATGTACTGTAGATAAATAGAAGAATTGGTATTTTATATAAAACATTTGTTATAAAATTGCTTTGTTTAATATCAGTATTGCCAACAGTGTAGAAAGCCTATATCGAAGCATATACAGATAGTTATTGTGAAGCTTCTATATAGCTTTGTGGTTTAGATTCTTATCATCCAATTAGAAAGCCCTGGTCTCAAATCCTACAGATGACAGGTTTTTTTTTTGTTTTTTTTTGTTTTATGTTTTTATATCTCATACCTTCAGAAACACCTAGATTTTTCTTCAGTATGAAATACAATTATATTGGTTATTGTCTCCATTTACTGCCATTTGATTCTTTTTCTATCTGTCTATATCATAACCATTGTGATCACCTCATATTCACCCAACACACTATAAGAATACTAATTCTTTTTAAGTGTCATCTTATCAACCGGTTTCTGAGGGTTTGAGGCTTGTTGCTTATTTTACCTTTAGCATTTCAAGATTTCTCAAGAAGCTTAAAACCCATGTGCTTTTTTCTACAGGGAAATTAAATGTTGTTGCTTTTTTGTGTAAATTTTGCTTGAGTTATATTTTTGATGTATAATGGATATTTTTAATAAATGATTAATTTTTTGGGGGTTTTTTTTTGCCAAAAAACATAATACAATAATAGAGGTTTGCTTATGGTCCCCAGGAAGAATTTATATTTTTTTTCTCTTTCTGTTTTATAACTTTATTTCTTTGAAGAAGATGAAATGATGTAATTAAGCATCTATCCTAGCTTACTATACCAATGCTGTCCTGTTGAATGTGATTTTTAAATAATTAGCAGAAAATAGCTCATGTGCACTGTAAGGAACCTATTATTTGGAAGAGTAGGGGGTGACCCCCAATGCTATGGTTTATTTCAGCCCTTGTCATTGTAGAATGAGGTGACCAACATTTCATATAAGCTTCAAGGTATCGATTTTAATTGTCAACATATCTCAAGAGTAATTAACAGATCCTCTATTATAATAATAATAATAATATTATTATTATTATTATTATTATTATAAATAATACTAGTGCTCCTCAGGTCTGTGTATTTGTCCTTGTTCTGTCTGCATGTATACAAATACAGTAGCAATTGCTTTAATACCAAACAGACGAGAGCTATAGCTGGTACCTGTTTACCAGCCAGCTCAGACTACGAAGGGACCCTTTAAAGGGGATAAGAAGATAATGTATGAGCTACTGTAGTCCATACTTTGAGCACTCTGATCTTACGAAATAGCACTATAAATGATGTTATGTATGTATGTATGTATCCGTAAAGGAAAACAACCGTTGTAAAAAGGCTAATTTTCCAATGACACAATTCATTTCGCAGCTTAATAATTACAGCAGTGAAAAAAACTACCACACTGTAGACCAATGACTTTCTTACTAATAAGGTCAAAGAAATGCTTTTTGATAGAAAAGAGGAAAATTTTGGAACATATTGCATCAATTATAGTGATATGCTTGGTGTTTTTTATTGCCATTTACATTTGCAGCTAAAAGCTGAATTGGTGTATTCTTATTACAGTAAATAGAAAAAAACATCAAACATGGTATATTATTCAAATTACATATTAGAAACTTCAAAACTCTATTAAGGATATTGATATTGATAGATTTTGTTGAATAATTAAGTACCTACGATTGATTGATATCAAATAATAACTATTATTATTGAAATGAAAATTCATCATTTCCTCTAATATTTATTCAGAGTGTACTCACAATAGCGCTGTTTGGTATGAAGGCAACATTTCTCAATAAAAAAACATTTAGTAACATAATGAAGAGAATAAGGAAAACATTAAAGAGAAGTAGATGTTCTAGCCATGACTTTTTGAATTGGAGAAAATGAAAATGATAGTGAACATTCCTCGCATTTCTTCAAATACCTTTGAGATATAAAGCATAAAGAGATGTATATGATCCAATTTATGTAACAGTAATTCTGCAGTTGAACATTTGCCTATAATAGCAGCGTATGGGGTAATTATAGTTCTAATCTAAAATATCCCCTTCCTCACCACCAAAGCCTATACCTAGAAATACTAGCAAGGTGACTGGCATGACGCTAGGTCAGCGGCTCATTTTATTTATCAAATCAGAATTGTTTTTGTGTATGTTCACGATTTTGCTATAAGCAGCATATTGCCTAATTGTGATAATCTTTTTTTTAAACTTTTAAATGGAAACTTTTTACAAAGATAGTGAATTTCATTGCTTATAATTGCTGAGTTTTTGTGTTGTTGGCATGATGATAAAGAATCTATCGTACAACTTAACTCTTCCTTATACTATTTTCTTGAAACCAAAAGAAATATGCAACAAAAACGATGAAATCGCGACTAGGTGAAATTTCCGACAAAGTTGAACATTTGGAAAAAGTAACGAAGAAACTAGAAAGGACGGCAAGTTCCGATGATGAGGCAAGAAATTTTACTTGTGCCAGTGAATGCTATTCTGTGCAGTCTGCCAATTTTATAGCAATGCTTTTATCTTGGTCAGAGTTTTGCTTTTCATAAGGAGATTTTATTTTTTGAGATCAGTGTTTTCTTAAAAATGAATGCTTGTCAAACCCATGTTTTGCAGTATGTCTCACCAAGATTACTAAAATCTTAGGTTCCATGGGAAAATCTCCAAAGATATGTTTTCAAAAAATATATCTCCCGAGATTACAGTTTAAAGAAAAGAGAAGTTTGGCCTCGCACACACAAAAAGGTTGAGGCAAGAATAGGGGAGTAAGGTGCAAGCAGTGTGAAGTCCAAAAAGGGCTAGGGAGACACAGGCCCAAGTAAGTTTTTGTGCAAAAGGTTTGAGACAAAAAGGATGAGGCCAATGTGTCCCAATCAGGCCAATTGTAAATTTTTCCCTTATTTTCTCCTATTTCATTGTCAGCATTCTTTTTGAATATTTTTCATAGCTACTTGCTTAAAACTACGTTCACATCAAGCCTGGATTCCGGTCCGGAGAAAAATCATGAAAAATGGGTTCGGTGGTAAAGAATAGGACTGTTCACATCAAATTTGTACGATTTTTAATCCAGACTACAGATCCGGATCGATGGATCTGAGAGCCATTTGTATCCTGAAATTGTACGTTTTTTTTTCTTGGACCAATCAGCAACAAGCTTGGTTGGTTCGAACCAATCGAACGCATACGTATTAAACCGAATAAACGTGGTCCGTGCGTGATGTGAATGCAGCGTACAAAAAACGTAGCAATTCCCAATTTTTTGTCCGGGCTCCGGACCGGATCCTGACTTGATGTGAACGTAGCTTAAATTTGTAACAAGTTAAAATGATAATATTGGTTATATCCCTCATTTGGGATTATTGCTTACTTTATAATACGATTTTTTTTCAACATATGTATACAATATATTGTGGAATGCCAAATAGATATTACAAATATTATATTTTGCTTATCTTTGCAATTATTAAACTTATTAATTGTCATCTGTGATGGTATAGTATCGCTAAAAATATTTTGTATGCCATAACAGCAGTAATTGGAAAGCCTGAACTTTCTTCCAAGGCTCCCAAGTTGTGATTGAGATAGTCATTTCTGAGAGATCTGGTTTTATATGAGCTTTCTTTAACACAACTAATTTTTGACTTTGTTGCACATGTTGATTGACAAAACAAAAAAACATGAAAATACAGGTCTCCCTCCAATGAAAGACCCCTCCCATTAAGGACCACCTCCAAATAAAGACCACTATTCTAATTCTTTTATCTCAATTATTCTAATGAGAGACCAAAGCTGCTAAAGACCAGGGAAATCCTTGTCCCAATTGTGGTCTTTAATTGGAGGGAGACCTGTACCTCGAATTTGTGATTACTAGAGATTTTTGTTTTCTAGTTGGAGGCTGTCCTATTTTTTTAGGACGCATTTTCCTTCAACTCGTAGAAGACTTAAGGGGGGTGGGGCCAGCTGTTGTCAATAAAATCATCCTTTTAAATTCATTTTTAACAGATGGAATTTAGGAGCTCTAAAATTTATGCTTTTCACATACATATTTATATATAATATTTATTTATTTATATATATATATATATATAT